GGGCTGGTTCCCGCTTCTCCCCAACGTAGAAACTCTCGCCCACTACAGGAGGTGCACACACTGCATCCTCCCTCAAAGGAGGCAACAAAGTGCAGCATCCGCTTTGAAACTCATCCGGTGCTCCCGTAGTTTGTGCTGTACTCGAAGAATCGCGTGCTAAAGGGCAACACAAAGATTTCTTTTTTGCGTTGCCTTTCCTCCCAAAACTCAGAATATGTAAATCTCTAAATATTTGAAGATCGTTCCAGAAACATTAATAATTCCCCCAACGTTTTTATATAAAAAATAGTAAACAAGCAGTCTTGGGAAATACTTTAAGTACATGGTGCTTAAAGTATCACTGTTTAGAGACCTCGTATTTTACTTGAAGTACATTCTCTAAACATGTACTTGTACTTTCTGAGGAAAGTATAGCTCCCGACTTCAACGTACGTTCCCCGAATTCGAAAAAAAAAAAAAAAAAAAAGGCGTATCGTCGCGTGAAAACTTATTTTTTCGAGACGTCATCTGGTCATTTCACTGAGTGAGGTAATGGCGGCTATAAGACCGACACAAATAAGTCCCTAATAAGGTGATTGTGTTAAATTGCTCATCAGCGAGAGCAAAACAACTACTCTGTGGCGACTTTATACAATATTCGCTGCCATTTCCGTAAAAAACGGGTACACCTGTGATTACCTCTGGAGCAGTGAGTACCAGTTAAAAAAACTCTGTAAATTGAGTGAAATGGCATTATGAAAGATTCTGTTAAAAGAACTGGTACTTTACCTTGAAATTTATTGTTTGTATAGACCATTCCATTTAGCGCTCTCTGGGCGGCACCATTTTGTTCGACCGCAGCGCCCTCTCCACACATCCGGGAAGTTCAGCGGGTTCGGCGGGGTAAAACGAGAGAGAGGGCACGCCGCCGACTCCGCTAGCAGACGACAAACCGGGAGGTTGCCGTTCTCCATCTTTGGGCTGTATCGGCGGGCTCTACCGAACTCTCGCTCGTGGCTGCCGTTGTGAAGTGGTTCGCGTTCTTAGAATAGTTGTGGCTACTCCAAAATCAGCCTATAGCTCTCTGTTGTTCTATTTTGCTAAATGATAAACTAGCATATCTTTTTTCCGTTACTTAAATAGCAGTTGAGTCAGCCGGCAGTACTACCCTCAACTACTGCGTGTATTGCGGCAGGAGAGCACGTTTATTTATTATTTCAGACTTCCACTCATGGTCGCTAAAAGCCTACACCAGTACGAACTTTCGTATAGTAAAAAAGGTACAGCAACCGGATTTTCTTTTCGCCAAAGAGACCGGCCAATCTGACACAGTTTTCCCTATTTTTGTTTTTTATTTGCACGCAGGTAACAGTGCAATTGGACCCTGTGAGTCTTTTTATCTAGCATAGTATTACGATAACTGGCATACCAAAATCTGCGCATCTGCGCTTGAAAGTTCCAAAATGACGCGATTTTAAAGAGAGTTTGCACGCCAGCCGGACGCTAGCTACAGCCCACTCGCGGAGCGGACGGCTTACGGGGGAGAGGGGGAGTGCATTTTTTTTCTCTTTTACCTTCTCTGCTATGACCCTAATGGAACGGTCTATAGTACGTCACTTCAAGTACATTGCACGCGGTGTACTTACTTGTTTACTTAAAATTGAAAGCCTCTAATTTACTTCGTACTTTACTTCAAGTACTTTTTAGATGTACTTTACGCAACACTGTAAACAAGCAAAGGCTGTCTAAAAATGAAGCTCGGGCAGTGCTAAACCTCAAAGTAGAAATTACACACTTTCAGTACATCATTAACCAAATAAACCAGAAACTACAAAACAATTAGGCACGCAGAAGCAGAACCAGCTATTAAAGCATTTTTTTGAAAAAAAAAAAAAAAAAAATCCGATTCATATTTGGCTAGCACAACTTCGCTAACGAATCAAAACCTATGTACTTTCTTTTTACCATGACAAAACATATAAAAGTAACTTCAAAAGTAATTCACTATTTTTTACGGTAATTAGTACTTTACTCAATTACTTTCTATATGAGTAATTTCCACTTTACTCAAATTACTTTTGAGGTCAATACTCAGTAACTTAATTACTTTTTTTGAGTAACTTGTACATGTGGAGCATCACTATAGATTTACATCTCGCACAATAAATGCTGCTGATGGTCTGAATGAATTGGCAGGTTATTTATACTATTTTTTTTTGTATCTCTGTTTTTAAACAAGATCGCCGAAGCAGAAAAGCTGCATGCTGCTCGAGCAACGTGCTAAATATAGTCTCGGCCATGGGGAGAGAATCACAAGTAAGACAGCCCAAGTGCAGGGGCAAAGTAAAAACAAACAAAGAACATTTTGTTATATACATTGCTCGCATTTAACCTTTGCTGGATTCGCATAGTATTTCAATAGACTACACGGGTGGTATCTGTGGACTTGTTTATATCAACCCTCAAGTAATGTATAACAAACGTAAGCGAAGGTGTCTAGCTCGTTATTAGTCCCTTAAGCCCTAAAATTGAGATTTTACTTAAAGGGGCGGTGCAATGATTTTAACACTGAACGAATGTGCAGCTTGTATTTTTTATATTGTTTACTTCCGCATAAGTAAGAAAAAGTGCCACCATATCCCAAAATACCTCTATTTCGCTGCGTAATCGCAAAACATAGAACGCTTTTTCTCCCAACCTGCGGCCACATGGTGGCCGCAAATGGAACTTATGGTGTGACGTCATTCGGAGTGGTTTTTGTAAGTGATAGTGTTAGGCAATTGTAAGCTTGATTTAAGGTTAAGTTTAAAAAATCTTGTTGTTTAGGCATGCAGAAACGCTTCAGAAGCCTAATATTGCCGCTAAAAGGGTATGAATTATTTGTGGCGCCATCTACCGCAAGTCAACAAAACCTGCCGTCGCCGTCATCCGTCGACGCCCGAGGCGCCTACGGCGGCTACACGAGCAACCCGGACGTTTTGTCTTTCCCTCGCTCGACGGAGTGCGTTGGTCGTGGTCCGTAGTATCGTGGTGTCTCGACCTCGATTTCGACTTCCACTGCCCGCCGCGTCGACTGCCCGCCGCGTCGACTGCCCGCCGCACAAGTCCAAGACTTGCAATACGCAAGCATCTTGCGCTCGACGTCGCTCAGGCCGTCCGCCCATGCCGTCCGCCCATGCCGCCATGTTGGTCGGGAATCTGCGAAAGAGCGGGAGAGCGGCGAGCCCGGCGAGCGCTGGGGAAACTGAAGCCAGAAGAACCCAACCGGAAACCAACGCCACTCCGAATGACGTCACAGGCGAAGCTGGTGCCGCTTCAATGTTGAGTTGAGGGGTGCCAGAGATATCAATTTCTTTCATTTTTTTTTAATGAAAACTAGGGCAAGCAGGAAAGAATAGTTTTCGGCCCTTCGTTTTATATGTGGCCGGGATCAATTCCCGCAATTAATTAGCCAAAGCCTGCAAATTGTTGCACCGCCCCTTTAAATCGAATTGTCCTAAAGCTAAAATACCAGAAGGTCTTCTCACAGAAGGTCTTCTCACGCAGACTGTCGCCCTTCACAGGTTCCACATTTTCTGCTACTAGTGCTGCATCTACCACTAATCAGACAATCGAATGCTTAATTTTACTCCTGTTTTCCTCTGTTGTCAGAGAGCCCAGCCGTAGGGAGTTTGGAGGATGAGGAAGCTTTTGGAGACCTGCAGCAGTGTCTCTTTTAATTGGAAATGACAATTCAGACTACACGGTGTATTTTCCGAATGCCCAAGGCTGGAATAAAAATGTCCGGAAAAAGTATAAACATTCCAAATTACGGCACTATTGCTGTGCATATTTTGGGCAGTTCAATACATATCATACAGGCAACAGGGGGCAATTCGGCCGTCTTTGCTGCTACCATACAAACTAATTTCCAGTAATTGTGCATCTTCTAAGAAATATGCCTACATAGTGTATACACTATATAATTGATTCACGAAGAAGCTACATTTATGTAAAACAACCCTGTTCCACGGGCACTTCAAAGATAATCAGACACAGGGCCTTTAAACATCTGCGAACCAGCGCATGCAGAGTGGCAGCGCGAAGTCAGGGTCGCGAGCTAATTTGCGAACCGCCCAAAGGCCCATGATATAAATGCCCCTTCAAACGCCTTGAAAGCGGGATGTAATGTCGTTCTATGTCATGAACATGCAAGGAACAGAATTCCAGCGTCTGAAACACTTCACCGACCCCTCGCAAAATTGCCTTGTGTCGTGTGGACGGACGGGGAGGTTCATCGGCGGAATTGCCTCCGCCGATAGCTTTCGGGATTTGTAACCCAATTTTAAAGGTAAAAGGGACGAGCAGGCTTATAAAATGTACGGAAGCACGTCAATATCGGCCTAACTCAACGTCTTGTTCACCGGGTAAACGAAGTCCAGCTCCTCGAAGAGCTTGCGGCACACAACGCCAAACCAGGAAACCGGTGCTGGGAAGCGAGCCGATCCGAGATCGCGGAGCGGAGTACTCCCCCTGACGTCACGGTACACCTCACCACCAGGCGGATTTTTTCGGTCGCGCACCAGTTACCTAGCTGTGTTTGGAGATTTGTGTTTG